TCTCTCTCTCTCTTGTCACCTGTATGTTCGTCTCTCTCTCTCTCTCTCTCTCTCTCTCTCTCTCTCTCTCTGTCTCTCTCTCCCTCTCTCCAACACATCGGCAACAAAGCAAGGCCTCAGTAGGGGGCTCTCGTGGCCTAGAGGTTAAGGTGCTCGCCTCTCATTCAAAGGTCTCGGGTTCGAATCCGGGTAGCGACGGACACATTTTCTTCTCCAAATTTGTCTCCTTTCACCTCATTTCCTGCTCTCTAGCAATGTTCTGTCGTCTGCTTTCGTCCCCACTTTCTGCCCCCACCCCCTCACCTCCTTTGCCCCCTCCTCTGGGCTCCTGACTCTCTCTCTCTCTGCAGCCTTTCTACTGCTACTCCTTGGCTCCTTCTTACGTCTGTCCCTCAGCTATACCCTTGATCTTCTAGTAGGAAGGATCTACACCTAGTCTTCTCGGAAAAGGGCGAAAAATCTAGGAGGTCCCGTGTGCAAGTTGCGCACGACAAAGATCCCTTGGTGGTCTAAAATCGATAAGAGTAGGCTACGGCCGCCATAGGCCAAAATACAAAATGTCCAACCAAACTGAAAATGTTTGGTGTATCCCGAGCGCTCATATGACCTTATGCAGTTGCGAGCGCCGTAAAAAACTTACCAAAAAAAATCCTCATTACAGAGACACGGCAGCTCACAGAGAAAGAAAGACTCCAGAGTAATTGATGAAACAACTAAAGGTAAAGTGAGGAAGGGGAGCAACCACATTGAAATAGTGAGCAGCTAAAAGATTACATGAGTCGCTTCCCTTTAACCCAGATTTCTTTTGGTTGGTGCATACTTGTACGTGTACAATGTATTTGGTCGCTTTGAGGACAAGTGGGCTAACCCAGATTTCGGGGTGTTCCACAAATTTTGACCTACACCAAAAGTGGATATTGCCCTACTTATAGGATACGTTTTGTTTCAATGGTGAGTACCGGTATATTTGTTCAGTTATAGAGAAAACTCTCCTTATTTTTTTTTTAGAAACTGAACAAGGAGCAAAAATCTACCTTCGATTTTCTCAAAACAGCAGTTTTCAGGATAACCCCCTTGTGCTTATAAGCGACCATTTTAATAAATGCATGAAAAAATGTTTATGTTTACATTGTAATATACCTCAAATTAGCTGTATTTTGTAATTATGTAAAGCTGGTTATAACATCTGAAAATAATAATAATATTGATCAATATTGTGCATATTTGTGTGTGTGTTTGTGTGAGTGTGTGTGTGTGTGTGTGTGTGT